ATGACCCAGGAGTTTGTTTTTTGCAGTTCTGGAGACGCAGGTTCAGTTGTGATTTATAAAAATAGTGAAAGTGCAGATCACAGAGCCTCATCAAGTTTATTATTTATAAAAACATTAACTCTGACCTGAAAACCAAACGTGTGTGTGTGTGTGTGTGTGTGTGTCTGTGTGTGTGTGTGTGTGTGTGTGTGTGTCTGTGTGTGTGTGTGTGTTTATCTCCACACAATGTGTAAAGTGATTGATGTTCTTCTGTGGTTTTGTGGTGATGGAACCAAATACAAATCTGAGTAAATATCAGTCAGTCAAACTTTATTCATACAGCGATTTTCAGACAAAAAAATGCAACATAAAACAAATGGAGAAACATTTACAACATGATTAAAATCTGTGAACAGTTTGTGTGTTTGTGGTTTTAATGTTCTAGTTTTAAAAAGTTTCTATGATCAAACTGAACGTGCAGCGTCAGTGTTTCACCTGCAGATACAAACACCACTTTTTAAATTAAACTTTATTTATCTCACACTTTTCATACATTTGAAATTTAGCACCAAGAGTTTCACCTGCAACAGAAAAATTATAATAATGAAAAACAAAAGCCCCGCCCCCTTTTTTATCCACATACAAAACAACTTAAAGTTTAGAAGATAAAAAATAGATAAAATAAAAAAAGATCAAATAAAAATGGAGACTAAGTAAAATAGTAATAATTAGTAATAATTTAGTTTAAAACATATATAATAATAACAATAATGTTACGTACCTTTTTATTTTGATACGATCCTAAACGATAAAATGTTGTGTCGTCTTTGTCATTATTATTCATTTGTATGACCATAAATGGAAACAAAGTAAAAGTATCTTTACTTTAATTCCTACTCAAGTAAAAGTAAAAGTAACCATCTAAAAATCTACTCGAGTAAAAGTAAAAGTACTTCATTTAAAATGTAATTTGAGTAAAAGTTTCTTAGTTACTTTGAATTATTTGATGTAAAAAAGAATGAGTCATAAATCTGATCCAGCACAAGTCGTTTTAATCGACTTTTAGGTGAAACAGACAAACTTTTTACATTTTAAAGACAAATGAGCTCATGAACACAAACACTGAGCTCGTTCTTCTTTTTATAGAACCTAGAACATAACAAATTAAATAAATTAACAATAACAACAATTTTTGATCGCTGACGGCTCTGTTCAGTGGGACAGGCACATTTTGCATTTTTATGTTATTCTCTATTTTGCGCTTGAACGTAAATGTCCGAGGTTTGGCTGAGGGTTTCTGTCACTTTCCTCTCGAGAATTATTCAGTTACTCAATCTTCTTGAACGTCGTCCATGTCGACCTCCATCTGTGACTCGGCTCCAGCCTCGTCCAAGTTCATCCAAAATAAAGTGAAAGTACAAAGACTGAACATTCTAGAGTGAAAATGCTGCACGTGCAAGAGTAAAAGTAAAATGACCTAAACTACTCTCAAAAGTTTTACAACACCACACTTTTTCCATTTTTTTTCCCATTTCCTGTTGACCAAAATATATTTTAAACTTTAGATTGTCGTGTGCGTCGACGTTTGTCAGATGGAACAGCTGAACTCACTCGAGGCTCCTTCTTTTTACAAAACAAATCAAATATTGTTCAGAAAGTTCTTCCCAAAGTCTGTTGCAGAAGTTTTCATAAATGTGTGACACTTTGGTTGCTTCACTCTTCAGTCTTCAGCTCGATGGAGTTTAAGTCTGGACTCTGAGCCGCTGCTCGACGCTCCACGTTTTCAAGATTTACCGTCTTGTTCTTTTTTTTCCCTGAGTTGGTTTTGGCAGAACTTGGACTTGTGTTTTGATCTTTTATCTTTTTTTTTAACCTCTGTCTGTTCAGTTTTTACCTTTGGACCATTTCAAGCGACTCGTTGGATTTACACGACTTGAACTGCAATAAAAATCTGTAAAAAGTGAGGTGTTCTAAAACTTTTGACCTGTAGTTTATTTCAAAAACTAGTTTAAAAAATGACAAATTACTCATAAAACTTCTCAGTTACAGTAACATGAGCAGTGTTGGGAGCAACGTGTTATAAAAGCAACAAATTACTGTAATATGTTTTTTTTTTTGCTGTAATGCAGTAATGTGGCATTTAATATTTTACTCGGTACAAATGTGAGTATCGTGCGTTACAAAGCTTTTTAAACCTGGATTGAAGTGGTGGGTTTTTCATTTTTCATGATGCAAATTTGCTAAAATCACGGTGACATCAGCAGCGATGAAACGCCGGAGACGCGCCCACGTAGACCGTCAGGTGACCGCGGGCGAAAGGACCGACGCAGAAGAACAACTGACGCCCGAACGAACTTTACAGACTGCACAAGTTCTAGTCCAAGATTAGTCCTGGTTTACACCTGGTTTAGTCTTGATTTAAACCTGTTTAGTCCTGGTTCAGTTCTGGTTTAGACTTCAGGTTAGTCCTGGTTTAGACCTCAGTTTAGTCCTGGTTTAGACCTGGTTTAGTCCTGGTTTAGACCTGGTTTAGTCCTGGTTTAGACCTCAGTTTAGTCCTGGTTCAGTTCTGGTTCAGTCTTGGTTCAGTCTTGGTTCAGTCCTGGTTCAGTCCTGGTTCAGTCCTGGTTTAGTCCTCAGTTTAGTCCTGGTTCAGTTCTGGTTTAGTCCTGGTTCAGTCTGGTTCAGTCTGGTTCAGTTCTGGTTCAGTTCCTGGTTCAGTCTTCTGGTTTAGTCTGGTTAGTCTGGTAGTCCTGGTTTAGTCCTGGTTTAGTCCTGGTTTAGTCCTGGTTCAGTCTGGTTTAGTCCTGGTTTTCTGGTTTAGTCCTGGTTCAGTCTGGTTCAGTCCTGGTTCAGTCCTGGTTTAGTCCTGGTTAGTCCTGGTCAGTCTGGTTTAGTCCTGGTTCAGTCCTGGTTTAGTCTTAGTCCTGGTTTAGTCCTGGTTTAGTCCTGGTTCAGTCCTGGTTAGTCCTGGTTCAGTTCTGTTTAGTTCCTGGTTCAGTCCTGGTTCAGTCTGGTTCTGGTTCAGTCCTGGTTCAGTTAGTCCTGGTTCAGTCCTGGTTCAGTCCTGGTGGTTCAGTCCTGGTTTCTGGTTCAGTCCTGGTTCAGTCCTGGTTCAGTCCTGGTTTAGTCCTGGTTCAGTCCTGGTTCAGTCCTGGTTCAGTTCAGTCCTGGTTCAGTCAGTCCTGGTTCAGTCCTGGTTCAGTCCTGGTTCAGTCCTGGTTCAGTTCTGGTTTAGTCCTGGTTTAGTCCTGGTTCAGTCCATATTCGGCACAAAAGTTCTGCATCTTCGCAGTTATTTTGGTGAGTAAATTCAAAGTGCTGCAGTCGTCGTGTCATATTTTACATATTGTAATTTAATGAATCACTTTGAAATGACAGAAACGCGTCATAAATAAAAAACACATTACAGTTTTAAAGTCACTTGCCCAACAGTAACATGAGTAAACGTAATTTGTCACTTTCCATTCTTGGTTTGAATTTATATTTTGTCTCTTATTTAAACATTAAGTTGAAAGTGAAATTGTGAACTCAAACTCTTGGAATCCTGTCACTGTTTAACCGGATTTGGCACCAGAGGAACTTTTACTTCAGCCTTTTCCACAGTGCTGCAGAACGACCGAATAAACCACCACCACTACTACTACTACTACAATTTTCGCCCACTTTATGGCCCAGTTAAACGTCTGCCCTCATTTGACCCACTTTTCGGAGCCGGCGTCAGATCTGCGTCTATTTCTGTCTCCTCAGAATTCCGCTTTAGTCCTGGTTCCTGCTACAAAGCCAGGAACAGGCAGGACTCTGTGTGTGTGTGTTTGTGAGAAACCCCGCCCCCTCACTGCAAGCCCCGCCCCCTCACTGCCAGCCCCCCTCTCCCAGCCAGCCCCCCCCCCCAGTACATTACATGTGCAGCGCGGGACCCGAGCGCTCACCAAAGCTCACGCTTACTTTTTGACTCATGAGATTTTTTATTAAGAAAGTTCATGGTAACGGAGGGAAAATTGTACAAACAAGTAGAAGGTGCAGGATTTTACATCATTTGTCACTTTTTTTCTTCTGAAAACTTTAATATTACTTCAAAATGAAAGAAACTATTTCTATAAAATATGTCAGTCCTTCCAAGAACATTTTTATCATTTAAAAAATTTTTTTTTTTTTTTAATCCTGTCCCTTCATCAACAGTTCAAAGATGGAATAACACAAGATATGATGAAATACAAACATTTATTTACATGATTTTCAGGTCTTTGAAATTTGGGAAATAATTTTTGTTCCATGTTTCATTCATGGTCTGTTTAAAACAGATGGAACTTTACAACCAAAAATGGAACAGAAAAAAGGTCAACAGTTTGATAAACTCGAGTACATATGTATCTGTTCAATACACTTTTATATCAGATGAATTCACTTGAAGTTTTGGTCTTGTTGTTTACTTCTGCTTGACCGAGACCATGTGTTAATATATTTAAAATATCGAGTTATCGATCGCTCCAGCTGTTGATTCGCCGAACAGAACAGAACAGAACAGAACTCTACACTGACATGGAGATGACGAAAAGTGGAACATTTCTCATTCCTAGATTTTTTTCAGACTCACTGTATTTTTCGGACTATTAGAGTATAAATCATACTTTTTGTGGTCAATATATTTAATAAAATAAGAGATCAGGAGCCGACATTTCCTGTGTAAAGTGAAGTTGTAGTAAAAACAACAGAAGAGAGAAGAACAGACTGTTAACGTCACATATTTCACAGTTGTTCTACCAAACTTTTGATAGTTGTTATTTGAACAGAGTAAAGGAGCACAAGTTTACAACATTTCAGCCTCTGTGTGTGTGATATTTACGCCCTCTCCCAGCCAGCCCCTCCCTCTCCCCAGCCAGCCCCTCCCTCTCCCAGCCCCCCCTCTCCCAGCCAGCCCCGCCCTCTCCCAGCCAGCCCCGCCCCCCCCAGTGCCAGTACATGTGCAGCGCGGGACCCGAGCGCTCACCAAAGCTCACACGCCCTCCTCTCCTCTGCAGCTCCCAGGCTTCGCTCCGGACTCTGCCCGCCCGCCCGCACGCCCCCCCTCTGAAGCCCGACGGACCGCGCCAGGTCAGTGTGCCAGTCTGCCACCCGTACCCCCCCCCCCACCCTTCCTCCTCGCTTTGGGACACTCTGAGAACCCCCCCCCGGCGTGCAGCAGCTCTAGTCCTGCTCGTCCTGGTGAGGAGTGTGTTTGCAGGGAGCTCCGGTGAGACTGGTTTGTTCACGTGGGTGTGTCGGGTTTGCATGCGTGCGTTTGTGTGTGTGTGTGTGTGTGTGTGTGTGTGCCCCTCCCTCGCTCACACACACACACACACACAGTTGATGTTTTGTGTTTTCGTGCGTTACTGTCTCTGTTGTAACGACGGGTCCGAGCAGAAAGACTTCGGTTTGACTTTTCCTTTCTCCATTCATTTGTTTATCTAAGCGGGGCACAGGGGGGGCATTGTGCGAAGAGTCGCGATGCCAACGGCGCCGTGTCCAGAGCCGCGCACGTGTTGGGAGAAAGAGAAAAGAGGGAGAGAAAGAGAAAAGGGAGAGAAAGAGGGAGGGGGGGGTTTTTTCGGTGACTCTGTTGTGGAGGCGACGGGACTGTCCTGAAACACGAGACGCTGAGCAAAAGTGAAAGTGGACGTCAGAGATTGGAGCATGTGCCAGTGACTCACCCGGCTGTGCCCACCTCCCCCTGTGTGTGTGTGTGTGTGTGTGTGTCCTGCTCCCATTGTGACTGTGTGCCCCTCCACCTGTGTGCCCTCGTCCTGTGCCCTGCTTCTGTTCCTCCTTGTTCCTTCCCCTGTGCCTCCTCTCCTCCTCTCTTCCTCCTCCTCCTGTGCCGCCCTCCTGTACCCTCCTCCTTCTTTTGTGCCCTCCTCCTCCTTTGCCCTGCTTCTGTCCTCCTCCTCCTTTGCCCTGCTTCTTGTTCCCTCCTCTTCTGTGCCCTCCTCCTATGCCGTGTCCCTCCTCTGTGCCCTGTGTCTCCTCTATCTCCTCTTCCCCCTGTGCCCTCCTCCTGTATGCCCTCCTCTTGTGCCCTTCTGTATCCTCCTGTACCCTCCTCCTATGCCCTGTGTCTTCCTCCTAATGTGTGTCCTCCTCCTGTGCCCACCTCTTCTGTGCCCCTCCTCCTCCTAATGTGCCATCCACTTCCTCTTGTACTCTCCTCCTGTGCCCTCCTCCTGTGCCCTCTTCATCCTATGCTCTCCTCCTGTGCCCTCCTCCTTCTCCTGTGCTGTCTTGTGCCCTCCTTCTAACATGCCCTGCTCCTGTGCCCTCCTCTTGTGCCCTGTGCCCTCTTCCTCGTAATGTGCCCTCCTCTGCCATCCTCCTGTGCTCTCCTCCTGTACCCTCCTCTTCCTTTACTCTACTCCTCCTAATGTGCCCTCCTGTTACCTCCTCCTCCTTCTAATGTGCCCTCCTCCTCCTCCTACTCCCCTCCTTCCTGTGCCCTTCCTGTGCCTCTTCCTGTGCCCCCTCCTCCTCCTCGTGACGTGCCCTCTTCTTCTTCTTCTTCTGCCCTCCTCAGATCGTCAGCATGGAGACCCCGAGCTCGAAGCGCGTCCGCAGCGCCGTGTCGCCGGCGAGGATCAGCCGCCTGCAGGAGAAGGAGGAGCTGTGTAACCTGAACGACCGTCTGGCCGTTTACATCGACAAAGTTCGCTCGCTGGAGGCGGAGAACACCAGCCTGCGTCTGCGCATCACCGAGTCCGAGTCCAGCGTCACCCGCGACCTGTCGGGCATCAAGGCGGCGTACGAGAGCGAGCTGGCCGACGCCCGCCAAACCCTGGACCAGGTCGCCAAGGAGCGCGCCCGCCTGCAGCTGGAGCTGGGCAAACTGCGGCAGGAGCACCAGGAGCTGAAGGCCAGGTCAGTCACGCCGTCCATAAACACGTCTCCTCGCGACCACAGGGTCCTCGGTGCAATTCCCAGACTCCACCGGCCTCTTCCTCTGAGGAGTTTTCATGTTCTGATTTGTTTGTGAAGTTCAAACCGTGAGTTTGGGTTTTTTACGGCTCTGCATAACTCAGACGCTTCAAAGCTCCGTAAACAGGTGTGAACGTTTGAGCTCAGAGGCACGAAAACAAGAAGGAATTTGAGTGGACACAGAGACTGCAGAAAAACTCAAATGTAAAATAGAAACACTTAAATCTATCACAACATGACTTAAAGGTAGAGAAATGATGTGTCCATGCAGCAAGATCATTTTACTTAACAAGTTTATCTTAAAATAAACGACCTGTAGACGAGAATGAAACATCAGAACGAGTGAGTAGAAAATAAAACTGAAAACAAGATGAACCTGATATAAGTTTTAAAATCTTGGTCAGATCAGATTTGCAGTGGGTGTGGTCTGGGGGGCGGGGCTTCTGTGTATTTGTTTATTTATTTTCTCTGAAGGCAGGGCCAGCAACTGTTCTTTCTGGATCCACTGAAATTTTTAAATTCCATTTCAAATATAGAAATATAAATTCATAAAATTTGATCTTTCATGGCGATAATTCATGTTTACAGTTCATTTACACAACTCCTGTCTCAGTAGGACAGGTGTGGGCGGGGGCGGGGCTTGTCTCAGGTGTGTGGGGCGGGGCTTGTCTCAGGTGTGGGCCGGGGGGGGGCTTGTCTCAGGTGTGGGCTTGTCAGGGGGGGGGCGGGGCTTGTCTCAGGTGTGGGCCGGGGGGGCGGGCTTGTCTCAGGTGTGTGGGGCGGGGCTTGTCAGGTGTGGGCGGGGGGCGGGGCTTGTCTCAGGTGTGGGCCGGGGGGCGGGGCTTGTCTCAGGTGTGGCCGGGGGCGGGGCTTGTCTCAGGTGTGGGGCCGGGGGGCGGGGCTTGTCTCAGGTGTTTGGGCCGGGGGGGCGGGGCTTGTCTCAGGTGTGTTCTGGGGGCAGGTGGGAGTCAAAATGGAGTTCACAACAAATGAGACAGATTAAACAGATTTTTAGGATGAAGTGAACATGTTTAAAATCACGACTCAAGGCAACAGACTCTGTTCACGCTCGCGTCACAAACTTCCTCTGGGCTCTGTTCAGGTGTAAGTTTGGCTTCCTGGGGTCATTTTGTCAGCGCAGGATCAGTGTCGAGTCTAAACTAAAGTTTCTACTCAAACACGAGTCCCAAACAGGTCTTGTTCTCTCAGCGTCCGACCAAAAGCACATGACACACTCAGAGGTCAGAGGTCACATCTCCCGACCGCCGCACAGACTCGTGAAGGCAGCACCGGTTACACAACGACAAGCTCCGCCCCCTCGCGGCTCAGAGCGACGTCCAGACCTGAAGTGTCCTGTGACCTTCACCTGAGACGAGCGGAGCAGCAGAGTCCAGAGTGAACGTGTCCACAGAAATGAGTTTAGATCAAATTAACACTTGTAGAGTTAAATGCAGATACACATGTGGGCGTCGACAGGAGGAGATTTTCTGATCTGGACAAGATTTAAAAACTTATATCAGGTTTTTCATCTTGTTTTTAGATTTATTCTCAACCCACTTTTTCACTGACAAAAGTTCAAAACTTTTTCATGACTTTTTCATTTCCCTAAAGTGAATTTTCCATGATTTTCCAGCAACTACATGTGTAGAACTGATCAGACTTTTAGGTCTAAATCTGAAATGTTTAAGTCTTTCCTCTCACTTTATGGTTTGGGATTATAGTTTTTGAACATTTTAAATCCCGTCAGTGCATTTACTGTCGTCTCTTTTAAACAAAAGACATCAGACGCAGAAATGATCAGAACAAACTCATGAAAACTGAACGGATCACTGGAGCCAAGGGAAAGAGAGACTAAGTTTTCCAAACCTTTCACTGAATTTACAATTTTCCAGGATTTCCATGACTGTAGAACCCCTTTTACTCCTTCTGAATTCGTTGGTTGGTCTTAAAAATGGTCACCGACAGTCAGAAAATCTTAAATTTAAGTAATAAATGTTTAAAAGAAGAAACTACAATCCATTTACCAGAGTTTTCCTGCAACACTTCACTTGTTTTTCGATCCAGTGACACAGATTTGCTTCTTTATCTCAAACTAAAACATCTATAAACTTATTCTGAACACTTAAGACGGTTTCATTCTCGTCTAGAAGTTGTTTATTTTAAGATAAAATAGTAAAATGATCTTGCTGCATGGACAGATAAGTCATTTTCTGGTAAAACTTTAGATTCAGGAGCACATATTAATATCTAGTTAATATTAAAATGCATAATAAGTGCTTAATTACATGTTTATTAGTGTTTATAAAGTATTTTCAATGTATTTTTGAAAGGTCTAACCCATTTTACTATTTTCTTTCCATAAAATAGTGGAGATTATAATAGATGTTTTTGTGCAGACACTTGTAAGTCTTAAAAAGCATGAATAAGTGTTTGATTCATGACAAATAATAGTTAAATAACAGCTAATTAACAAACCAATTACCACTTAGTTCGCTGTTAAAATGTGCTCCCTAAACTGAAGTCTTGAGTTTTGTCCGAGCGTTTTCACGGATCAGAGTCCAGACTTTGACTCCGGCTGCACTTTATGACGACTTTCTCATGTCGGAGTGTGGAGTTTGCGGTTACAGATTTACACAGATCATAAACGAGCCGATCCGAGCGCCTCTGGGCTTGTCTCGGCACGTGGCCTCAGACACGGAGACGGGTCCCTCCCTGTCCTCCGGCGGGGCGCTCTCCGGCTCTGTACGTTTGTGTTCACGTGATCCGACGTTCGTATTTACCGGGGACAGTCCCAAGTTTGAGTCATTCATTCATTTTAGAGTGGATTTTAAAATGTTGTTGTTTGTTTTTTAAAGCGTGTACATCTCAGACCTCACTGTTCCTGCTCTCCTTCGCGCTCTGAGGTTTTATCGTCCCAAAAACGAGATTCAAAAGCCGCGGTGACTCTGAGGTGACCGGCCATTTTCTGTGGTCGGTCCCAAACTTCGGAACACTTCTCCCTCACATTTAGACATTAAATTTGCATCGTGTCGTTCATATTTGTGATGTTTTGTTGAGAATCTGTGGTTTAAAAAATCCTGGAAATGCAGAGACTTTATCGATCTCGAGGGAAATTCAAGCTTCAGGAAAACAAACATTTCCACTGCACGTCTCAGCGACAAAAACCAAGGAATCAAAACGCTCGTTCAGACGTTTAATTGGTTCTGTTCTGTACATTTAAAGGTTGTATAGAGGATTTTTTTAAGGAAAGAGAAATCCAGCAACAGTCCTTTTTCAAATGTAGTGCATGCGTGACGCCACCTTCCTCCTCCACAGCCTCGAGAAATAATTTAGAGATCGACACCTCAGTTTTTAGACCCTTTGTCTGCTTCAGTCGCGCAGTCACTGAAAGGAATCTCCAAGAATCACCTCAGTTTGTCTTCGCTCCTTTTCTCCTTCTCTTCTTCTTTCAGCGACCTCAAAAACGGACTTTCTCTTGCGGCGAACTGGTCGTGGATTCTCGTCCGACATCGCAACAAACTTTATGCGAACTGCGAGAGCCACAATTAGAAAAAGCCTCTAAGAACTGCTGCATAGTTACCTTAGAAACGTAGGGAGTTTGATTGACAACCTAACAGCCAATAGAAAATGAGGCAGCCTCGTTTTCTATTGGCTGATGTTTTTCTGGCCTCAACACGTCCACAGTTGATAGATTTTCTTTCTTTTTTTTTTTTTTTTGGTCATTATAATTACAAAGCTGCTGCGTCTCTGTAATGGTATTTTAAACTTTCATTGACAATTTGAAACAAACAAAAAAATCCTCCATACAACCTTTAAAAGTGCATTATGTCACTTTTCTGGATGTGGGTGTGTCCTGCTCGTCGCCATGGTGATGTTTTGGTTTTGTTTTGTTGTTGTCGTCTCAGTCAGCGCTCGGAGCACCGGGGTAAAACGTGTGTGTAGAAAGTGTGTGCAGGAGTGTTCAGCTGACTGATCAGGGAGGAGATTTCTCCCTCGCATTTAGAGCGCCCCCTTCAGTCGATACGTTTAAGTCTCGTTTAAAAACACACTTTTACTCATCGGCTTTTAACACTGCGTGAGAATCGTGTCTTTTATGGAGTGTGTTTACGTGAACATCAGTGTCCCGGTCATTGCAGTGTTCAGGATTCTGTGTTTACATGTTCACTGAGAACCTGGGACCTCACATCCCTGTGATCAAATGGAGCATCCTGATTTCTTAACACAATCTTACAAATGTGCAAGCGTAAAATTATATATTTAATAAACCAGGAAAAATGCAAACCACCATGAGCTCCTTTAGCAGAAGAAGCTCAGGAGGTTCGAACCAGCGGTGAGGAGCTTCACTACGCAGATCAAACCCAAATATTCCAAACGCACTGAGGCAGATTCTCAATTAAAATCTTCTGCATAAATAAACTCAACTTTAACTTTAATAAACCATAAACACTGTAGAGGCTCATCAGCAGGTTTGATCAGATCATTCAGCTTTGAGCACATTTGTTTACATTTTACAGAAATTAAACTTAAAACCACATGACTCATTTACATAAACTAGAAGCTCTGAAAAAAACAACAACAAAACGTCTTTTTCCTTGTGTCGCTGATGTGGTTCAGTTTCTGTTGGACTAAAGGAAACGACACGACTGTTTGTCATGTTGGAGATGGTTCATGTGAAACTTTTCAGACGTGTGCAGGTTTAGCGCCGTCATTTCACTCATGTTGGTCACTTTATTGATTTTGGCTGTTGTGATGAAAAGACTGAAAGTGTTTGTCTTTTGGACACATGTGACTTCACTTTGTTGCAGTATTCAAGGATTCTGCGTTTATATGCCACAGTATCTGGTACTATCTGAATATACAGTGTGTGTGATTATTTATATATATATAATGTGTGTGTATATATATGTATATATATGTGTGTATATATATATGTGTGTATATAT